ATCATCATCATCATCATCATCATCATCATCATCATCATCATCATCATATCCCTTCATAAATACATAGTTTTGGAAAGCATTTTCCTTTGCATTCATTGCCAGTTTAAAATCTTGGTTGCCTGAGACCAGTTGGCGTTGTGGCTGGAACAGTTGGAAAATAATGGAGCTTTGTTGAGCTCCATGAAAATCAGCCAGTATCTGTGTGCCGGGAGACCCTATGTAGTCAAAGCCGCCCTGGAGGGGTGGTGAAGGAAGGAGAGATGCTTCGTCGACCATGAGGAAATTTCCTTGTTAGTTCTGGAGAACGCTTTCCAGAATGGCCGCAGGGACGATGGCCAGTTTCTACAGAGCAATAATAGAAAAGAAGCTCCTCCATAAATCTCCAAAATTATTACCCTAAGAATGCCAATCATTCTTTGCTTCATTGGAAAAATCTTCCAGTTGACCAAATCCTGGACTGAAGGCAAGTCCTGAGTATCTTATAGGGATACATTGTTTTACACGAGATAATCCAATTTGTTAGGAAATGAAAGCCAAGAATCAATATCTATTACCCTCTCCCCTTGATTTTGCTCAATAAACCCAACTGCATATAATCACATCTTCACCCTATCTTGACCAAAGAACATGAAGAAGACTCACTGCTACTGCTGAGGATGTTGCCCCAGCCAGAGACTAAACATATTGCTCCAGTGGATGGACAGCTGCTTGGTAGATAGATTGCTGAAACATGGGAATTGAGACTGGATGGTTTGGATAATTTGATGAGCATGGTGTCATTGTCCAAAGTTCGGGGTTTTTATTCTGGATGACGAATGATTTTGACTGAATCAATGTGCTGCTCAGAACCATCATCTTTGGTCAAACTGTGTTCCTCAAGTCTCACGTGGATTTTTCTGAATTAAAACAAGAAACAGATTTTGATCATACGTATTTTATAATGAGCTGTCAGCTAAAAGCTAGGCCCACTAATATTGCAGCTCATAAGAGCATCTATTATATCATTAAGTGTTGTACTTTATAATTCTTGACTCTTGACGAATGTATCTTTTCTTTTATGTACACTGAGAGCATTTGCACCAAGACAAATTCCTTGTGTGTCCAATCATACTTGGCCAATAAAGTATTCTATTCTATTCTATTGCCCAGAGTGACTGTATCTTGAAAAAATAGGCACAGTTGCATGTTGGTTTTCAGTAGGCAATGAAAACTTCTACACTCCTGTGTGCACCTACATATCAAAGCATGTGTATATATTCTTTATTAAATTTATTAATATATGTAAATTTTTCATGGTCATGTCCCAAGTAATATAACAATAGATGATTACTTACAATTTATAGCAATGAGCAGCTGAAACAATCCATTGGTTGTTTATGATGGAGCCACCACAGAAATGTTTTCCGGAAGACAGAGAGACCTAATAGGGGGTGGAATGTTTTTTGGCAGGTGTAGCCAGCCACAATTTTATCATCTTCTTTATCATCGATGGGGAAGGCAACTGGATAATGAAAATATTTAGAGAAGATTTCATACTGGGTGAAACAGGAACCAAATATTCAACACTTTTTAGAAGTAGGGATTTCTGAAATCTTTGGTGGACTTTGAAGGGTGCCCATTATGAGATCTTCAACTTATTGATATAAGCCACAAGACGGCCAGTCAGCCAGTTTTATATGAGTGGCTGATATATATTGTATGCATGCATAACCTAGAATGCTATTCCTTTTCTGGTAAGCAACATTGTGAAGAATGAAAAAAAAACAACAGTAGGAAGTTATATGAGGAGGAAGGAAGAGAGGGCAGAAGAGAGGAAGGACAGAGGAATGCAGTAAATAATAGAAAAGAAAATCTATCCAAATGTAGATGCATTTACATTCACTATACGTCTCTTAGCTACAAAAACATCCTAATGTCTACCACATTTCTGCACCAGTTTGCCAATGTGTTTTTTGTCTTCAAACTTCCCATTTTTGAGATTTCATAAACTTTGTCCCACCATAAGTCTCTCCATCTTTCTTTTCTGCTCAACCTTCTCACTCCTCCTTCATATATTTGCTTTACCAATTGATGCTTCTTTATTCTCTCTCTATGTCCCAACCAAAAGCAAGTGCTTATTTTGTACTGGTCACTCCCTTTTTATTCTATCATAGGTATCATTTAAGTTTCCTATTCTTCATTCAACTGTTATGTGTCTCCTAATATACAGTATCAATGGCCCACACACTTACACATTTTCACTTCTTTTAAGAAACACGAACTTCTTGCAAATAGGCTATATATTCATAAAATGCAACGAAGAATAAGAAGTAATGAACCACACTTTTCTCCATTAAGGGGGCTATCATCATGAAAAGGGCAATAAAATCAAGTTGAAAGAACAGCAAGAAATGCCACCTGTCTTCATGACAACTGAGACATTGCCCTTATTTCTTATCCCATTACCTTCCTTTTCCTGTCAAAATGTCTTCTCTTCCTTTTTCTTTTGAATGATTTCCACTCTTCTAGGATGGGATGCAGTGGGGTGCATGTTTGTGCCAGTGATGGGATTCAATTTTTTTTACTACCGGTTCTGTGGGCATGGCTTGGTGGGTGTGGTGTGGCTTGGTGGGCGTGGCTTGGTGGGCATGGCAGAGGAAGGATACTGCAAAATCCCCATTCCCTCCCCACCCCACTAACCTACTTTCCAGCCCCATTCTCCTGTACAGGGCAACAAAAGAAGACCCAACTGATCAGCTGGGACTCGGGAGGCAGAGAATAGATGGTGGAGGGGCCAGTCAGAGGTGGTATTTCCCATTCTCCAAACTACTCAAAATTTCCACTACCGGTTCCCCAGAACTGGTCAGAATCTACTGAATACCACCTCTGGTTTGTGCTACGTAATGCTTCTGATCTAAAGGCAAAGCCTGCTTGGAATATGGGAAGGTATGCATATGGCATATCTCCATTTCCTTAGAGAAACTGATTCCCCACCCCCATCCTCCTAGGATTGTACAATTGGGTGATCTGCAATCCTAGGAAAAGCTGGACCTGATTTCAGGAGTTACAGACAAATGTATTTGCAATTTCAGGAGTTACAGACAAATGTATTTGCAATACATTATTTAGCATCTTTTTGCCTTCACGTTCAAAGTACTGCAGACCTCAATCAAAGATCCTTTGAACAGTTTTCCTCCTTTATAGAACAATTTATCTCCTGCAAGAACATGGAATTGATAATGATTTGAGCTTCAAGTTATGGATAATCTTTAAGAATATTTGAGGTGTTGGGTTTAGTTTTAAAAAACCTAGGGTTTATCTGTTGTCATTGCTCCAAAGAAGAGTTTGCTTGTTCTCACCTGTCTGCAACACTTTTTTTCACTTGGAGTTATTACTGGGAATAAGTTACATTAGCCGATACCCTGTGCAGAATAGTTTAGTGGCTTCAGCTGAAACACAGCTTTCCTTGGCTATTTCATCAGCAAAGACACCTGGCTCAAAATTAATGGTATTTGTCTAATATTATTTGTTCAGTGTTTCTGAACTTTGACAGCTTTTTGATATATGGACCTTAAACTCTAAAATTCCCTGGGGAAAAATATATATATAGTTTAATCATTGTAGCTTGGGAGCCTCACCTTTAGAATTCAGCCCTGAATTGTTATAAAAAGTTCTTAGATTCACTAGCTTGCTATTCAAATTCTATTTGAAAATCTGCAGAGGTCTCTTTCCAATCTCAAGACGAGATTTCTCACCACTTCTTCTGAGGAAATGATTGACTTACCAGTTCTTCCCAAGAATGCTACCAGCCAAATGAACTTTGCTCTGAGGACTCAATCCAAAGGAAAATACACAATGGAAAATACAAACTTCGTTACTTGGAATTCAACCAATAACAGGAGAGGAAAGATGGAATTCACATTAATTTCCTTCTTACGTGATCCATCCAACCATTTAATACTGTCATTCTTTGATCAATACTGTGGATACTGAATTTATCATCCTAAAGGTTAAATATTCTATACTTGCAGGTAAGTAAATATTATTTCTATGAAGTGGAATAATTTTGTGGCGATCTTATCATTTCAAATGTTCCTAGGTCTCGTTGGATGACATTGCTTAATCGATGGAGACCAGAATGTGGTGAAAAAGTGTATTGAACATGGTCATAAAATTCCAGTTAAAAACAGAAACTGGGAATGTTTCTCTCAGCAGAGTCCACAAAACTGATATTAACCTAACAGCTGGTTTTGGTCATATCTCTGCTTAAATGAGTTTTCATTTTACAAATGAAAAACTCAACTATACTAGAGCATTTGTGTTTAATTCAGTGTGGAATCAGCTTTCCTGTGTATTGCATCTAATACAAAAGAGAAGAAGTACATGTCAAATTTAAAGTTTGTCCTTTTAATTCTCCTGATTGCTAGAAATGGTATGATGCTATCATTGGAGGACTTTTCAATGAGGAAACAACAATCTTTGAATCCATTCTGAAAGTAAATAATGAAGAGCAGCTGCACACAGAAGAGACAGCCTTACACAGAATGTACACTGCAGTGTCTGAAAACTGAGATTGTACAAGAAAGAAAAGGGAGAATTGGGGAGTTACTAATTTCATTCTAATAATGCCTGTCATAATCTGCATTAACATTGTTAATGAGCTCCGTAACTGGAAGAGAGATGAGTAGTTCCTCTGGCGTTGAAGGCCCCACCTTCACTTCCTGCTTGGTTAGAGAGGCTCAGAAGCCCTTCCTGCCACCAAAGAGGTGTTCCAGAGAGCTTCTTCTGGGCCAGGATTCAAGGGCAGATGTCAAACTGTGACTTTTCTTGCAATAGGAGCAATGCTGTGGGAAGTACTTGGTGTGCAGATATGGGCAGGTAGGGATTTCTTTTCTCATGTGGATAGATAAATTTTGCCATTCCCAAAATTAAGAAAAGGAAAAAAGGAGAAAGAAGAGAAACTTTGTAGCAGGAAAAAGCAAAGTAAACAAACTGATCAAGAAGCGAGAATTAGGAGGTTTGTTTGAGAGAGTTGAGAAGTGTCTGCTAGAGTAGAAGTGATCTGACATTGTTGTTTCCTTCATCTCCAGAATGGGACACTGTTGCAAGACACTAAAACACTTAGAACTGCAATCTGACCCTGAAATACAATCAGTTCTTCAAAATGGTAATTAAAACTCCAATTTCTTTCTCTTAACAATGCGGTTGTGGAGTGCAACATCACATGACAACGTCACTGCATTCTTCTGCGACTTTTTTCAGAATCCCACTCTAATGTATACCTCTTATAGTTCCTATCAGACTTCCCTCTAAGTGCTGATTCATCCCAGCCGTTCATAGCTTCTGTCATCATTTCACTAATTTTGAATATGATCATTGAAAAGAATTAAAACTCATCTAGTTTAAAGGCCAAGACCTTTCCCTGCCAGTAAAGAAAGATACCAATCACCAGGTGTGTCATTGCACAACTTAGTTTTTTAATTTTTGCAGCGTTAATTCTTGGTCAGCGTTAATTCTTCTTGGTCTGTGAAGTGTTAGTTATGGTTGTGAAAAGGGAGCTTTCCAGACAGGAAGTGTAGATCAGTTGGAACGGATGGTTTGCTGAATCCAAGAAATGTAGTTGCAAACTTTAGTGTAGACACCAGGCTTGCCTCTTTGAGCACATCCCTCACCCCAAGAGACAACTCCTTGGAGTACTCCATTGCAGACAACTGGACCGCCAGAGTCTCCCTGTGAAAGAAGCAGGATATTGAGTAAGGAAATATAATTTGCATTATATCAGACTCTGGTAGATGAAGGCAAGGAACAGATTGCAGAAGGTAAAAAGTCCTCCCATGGAATTGATTTCATACTCTTCTATATTAGATGTCATAATTGTTTCCAGGATGGGATGAAAATCCCAGCAATGCTTCATCTAACTGGTAAGAGCTTCCTAAAAGAGAAGGCAGATCCAACATATAGTTCATAGCCTCATAACGGCTGGAGGTTTGATGTGATTGATGTTGTTTGTTTATTCATTAAAAGCAGGCAACTGAAGGCCAGACAGGTTGCAGAAGCAGCTCCTGAATATAGGGATTTCTCTCCAACTACCCACTTCTCTATTGTATCCTCAGGTTTAAACACCAGCCAGCTATGAATTTAATATATATAGTAGGACCTACTTTGAACACCATCTGAAATATACAATACAAAATGGGAAAAAGGAAAAAGATTTACCTGACAAGAGTCTTTTCCACCTTCCACGTATCCTGCACAAAACATATTGTTGGTGATTTGCCCTGGATAAGCCTTATTGCACTGACTCTGAGAAAGTACAGGGATACTCAGGCACTGCAGAAGATCTGGATAGCGTGCTGTGTGAAAGATCAAAGAAACTGTATTCATTTCCAGAAATAGACATTAGACTTTCCCTAGAATGTTTGAACAGCACAATAAAAGAAATGAAGCTCCCCCTTCTTCCATAACTTTGTTGCTCTAAGGATGCCAATCACCTTTTGCTTCATTGCAAAAATCTTCCAGTTGACCAAATCCTGGACTTAAGGCAAGTTCTGTGCATTTCATTGGGGTGCATTATTTTATATGGCATGGTCTGATTTATAATGGGGTTTGGCAGAAAATGAAAGCCAGAAATATTTTTATTAGCAATTTACTCTCTGTAATCATTAGCTTTGTTCAATAAAATCAACTGAACATGATCACAAATGACTCTATCTTGCCCAAAGAACATGAAGAAGACTCACTGCCACTGCTGAGGGTGTTGCCCCAGCCAGAGACTAAACATTGTGCTCCACTGGATGGACAGCTGCTTGGTAGACGCACTGCTGAAACACGGGAATTGAGAGTGGCTGCTTTGGATAATTTGATGAGCATGATGTCATTGTCCAAAGTTCGGGAGTTGTATTTGGGGTGACGAATGACTTTGACTGAATCAATGTATTGCTCGGAACCATCATTTTTGGTCAAACTGTGTTCCCCAAGTCTCACTTGGATTCGGCTAAATCAAAACAAGAAACAGACATTTTGGTCATATCTATTTTCATCCAACCTATTTTAACATCACAAGAGCATCCTGTTGCCCAGAATGGCTGAATCCAGTAAATGATGGACACAATTGCATGTTGGCTTCTTGTACTGGGTAGGAAATTAATGCCTCTATACATTAGTGTGCACCCATACCTAAATATAGAAGCATGTGTTTATATCCTTTATTAAATTTCCTGATACAGGAATATTTCAGTACAATGAGAATGTCCCACATAAAATAACAATAGATGATTACTTACGATTTATAGCAGTGAGCAGCTGAAACAATCCATTGGCTGTTTATGATGGAGCCACCACAGAAATGTCTTCCGGAAAACAGAGAGACCTGATAGGGAACGGAATGTTTTTGGCAGGTGTAGCCACCCACAATTTTATCATCGTCTTCATCATCGATGGGGAAGGCAACTGGATAATGAGAAGATTTCAAAGTGGGTGAAACAGGAACCAAATATTCACCACTTTTAAGCAGTAGGAATTCACAAAACTTTTGGTATACTTTGAAGGGTCCATATGATGGGATCTTCATCCCATCAGGCAAGTGATGGATGGCTAGTCAACCAGTAGGAAGTCACGTGAGGAGGGAGGGTGGAAGGGAGGAATGAGAGAGGGATGTAGGAAATAATAAGAAAGGAAATTATCTAAAAGTAATTTACATTTACTGTATCTCTCTGCTGACTTCCACCACAGAACCCAGAAATGCCACTAAACCTTCATGGCAGTTGAGTTCCTGCCTTTATTTCCTGGCCCATAGGTTTCTACCTCTTCTCAAAATATCTTCTTTTCCCTTTTCTTTTGAGTGATTTCTATGAAAAGATATTAATGAACTAGAATGCAAGTTTGGGATATTCTTTGGTGTGTGTGGAAGTATGCATGCAGCAAATCTCAATGTCCGCAGTGATTCTGCAGTTTTCCTCAGAATTGCACAATCCTTGGAAAAGATATATCTGCTTTCAGGAGTTATAGACGGATGCTACGGAATGCATGAGCCCCTTGTAGATTCTGAAGCAGATTTTTGCCTTCAGGTTTGTTGTTTACTTTTTCCTACACATAATTTTCCTTGAACATTGAGTAGGACAAGGAGAAGTGAACCCTGAGTCAAGATCCCTTTGAATAGCTTCCCTCTGTTATTGGACCATTTGTATCATGCAATTGTATGGAATGGACAATGATTCCATTTTTAAAAATGGGTAGAATATTTGAGAGACTAGGGATCCTAGGTTTGTCTAAAATCTCTTGCCTTAAAAAGCAATTTGTCTACTCTAAGCATTTCCCTGGCTACAACTCTTTCTTGCTATTTAGTTAGTTTACTTTTATTGTCATTGCACCTCGTACAACAAAATTAAATGCCATCTTCGGTGTACATTACACATAAAAAGTAAAACAAAAACACACAACCTTCACATTCTCTACAATTTAATTGAAAACCCCTAATATTGCATTAATATTGCACTACACAATAGAAGCTATTTTTCAGCCTATTTCTCCTTGTTTTTATTGTCCTGTACCATCTGCCAGATGATAATAGTTAAAAAAAAAGGGTGCTCAGGACGAGATGGATCTTTTAAAATGTTTTGAACTTTCTTAAGGCAGCGGGAGCTATAAAGCTCTTCCAAAGAGAGGAGAGGGCAACCAATAACCCTCTGGAGTGCTGTCCTATTTGCCACTGTGCAATTGGCAAACCATACACAGGTGCAGTAAGTTAAAATACTCTCTATGGTGCAGTGGTAGAAGGTCACCAGCAGTTTTTCATTCAGTTGGTGTTTCCTGAGAAGCCTCAGGTTGTATAGTCTCTGCTGGGCTATTATACCTGGGAATAAATTACCTCAGGCCAGACACTATGGAGTATAATTTGTTGGCTTCAGCTGAAACACCAAGAAAGCATAAAGTAAGTTCCTTGGCTACGTCATTGTTAAAGACATCTGATTTAAAATTAGTAATATTTGTCTAATTTTTAGTCTAGTATTTTACAACTTTGGCAACTTTTAAGATTTATGGACTTCAATATCCAAAATTCCCCAGCTAGCATGCTGGAGTGGGAATTCTGGGAGTTGAAATCCATACATGTTATAGTTGCCAAAGTTTAGAAACAGTTCTATAGATTAATTTTGGTGGCTTGGGAGTCCCACCTTTTCAAATGCAGATAAACTGATAAAAAAATCCTTAGGTTCATTAGTTTGCTAGCTCAAGTTCTACTTGAATATATATGAAGAAATTATTGACTTACCAGCTGCTCCCAAGAATGCTACCAGCCAAATGAACTTCATGTTGCCTTTCTTCCTCACAGTAGCAGAACAGAGGAGCTACTGCATGTATTTATGTTGTGGGGTGAGTATTATCTTTGCTCCAAGGACTTAATCAAAAGGAAAAATACACAATGGAAAATATAAACTTGGATTTCAACCATAACAGGTGGAAAGGAAAGATGGAGTTCGCATGAGTTTTCCCCTTATTAACAATTTAATATTGCCATTTTTAGATAAATACTGGGAAAATGCATTAATCATACTGAATGATAAAGATTCTATCTTTAGCTTCCTTGCTATAATATTTTTTCTGTGAAAGTGGAATTTTTTTTGTAGAGATGTTATTGCTATCTGTCATACATGTTATGTTTATGTTATGCATAAAAGTATTCCTTCTTTTTTGCAAAAACATTGAGACATGCATTTTTTTATGGTGAGGGTTGTCTTTGGACTTTGAATAGTGTACTGAGCTCAAATAGCCAAAAGTTAATTAGCCCAAGACAAAAACACAACTTGATTTAATTTAAATAAAAATGAAGTGGGTTCTGTGAATATGATTACTTTAAGCTTCAACTGACTTGCAAAAATTCAAAAAAATCTACTCTCTTAAGAACATTCCTATGAACAGATGCTATTAGGCTTCAGGTATTTTAAAAAAAACACCTCAATACATGTTGGAAGAAATATCCTTCTGGGTTCAGTACCAAGTGGGGAAAAAGACACTGGAAATATTGAGGCTGTTTGGAAAGAAGGTTTAATGGTGGAGAGGACTGCATGGCTTGGAGCTCCAAAGTGAAAAGGATGACCACATGCTTCAATATGTTGGGTGAAGGAAAAGAAGGGCCAAGATGCTGAGAGACCCTTGGTTATATACCCTCTGTTGGGCCCTACTTCAGTGTTTCCTGTTCCTGTGTAAGAAATGTATCCCATTGGCTGTCCGACTCCCAGGGCCGGGGGTCTTAGCTAACTTTTTAGGCTTTGTCTGGACCACATGGCTTCACCTGACTGCTGGCTGATGCAATCTTCCCAGGCCAGGTGGTGAGATTGGTAGAGGCCTTTGTTACGTGGAACACTCTGGCCTAGGCCTTAATGGCCCGCCTATTAACAAAGGTTGGGTGGGGGTGAGCTTCTGCCTCTCTGAGTTTCTACTTCCCTTTTAGGGGAAATATTCTGCCTTTTTAATATTTCCTAGGATATTTCATTTTTCTAGGGGAGTGGTGGGTGCTAACTTCCTACACTTAAAAATATTCTGCTTGAGAAATCAGAATTAATTTTATTTGCCTTAAGGTGTCCTTTATTTATGCACACATACATATAGCCTATAGCAGGGGTTGCCAACCTTTTGGACGTCAGGGACCACCAAACTCATAATTTTAGATCCCATGGACCAGAGACCCTGGGAAAATCCCCCAAAAAGCCTGCAGGAAAATTCTCCACCCTGTGTTCCTACCAATCAATCATTCTTTATTTGGGATCGCAGGATACTCAGGGGAGAGAGAGAGAGAGAGACTTTTGGTTTCATGCAAGGAAAGCAGCAGAAGCAGCAGAAGTATTTCTTTCAACCCCCAAACTCCGCCAGAAATGAGTCTTTGTGAGACTTGTTGCACAGGCACAGCCTCTTGGAGTAGGATGCCTTGCAGGGTCTCAAAGACTCATTTCGGGTGGAGTTTGGGGGAGAGAAAGAAAGACTTTTGCTGCTTTCCTTGCATGCAGCCAAAAGCAGAAGAAAGAAGTGGAAAGAAGCAGCCCAGTGGCCAGGTGAGGTGTGTCGGGTGAATGCCTTCCCCCCCCTCACTACCTCATGTTATTTGCAATGCAAGTGACGCAAGCTTTGTATTCCCATGGGCCATGTGGGTGAAGCAACCTTGTGTTCCCATGTAGCCTGGATTAATTGCTTTGGGAGGTGCTTTGGGGGTGACATTTCTCTGCGGACCACCAAAATTTTCTCACAGACCACCAGTGGTCCCCAGCCCACTGGTTGGCAACCACTAGCCTATAGGCCACATGGTCCTAATGACTCTGAATGGTTTATTATTAATAGTAAGAAAAGAGTAAGAAATCACAAACAGCCTGAAAGTGAATTTATAATTTAAATAAATCCTCCAAATGATGGGCATCATGTTGCCTAAAGCCCAGGAGAACCATTAGATCTTGGTAGGTTCCTGAATGTCACAGGGGTAGAAGGCATGAAGATCTCTGGGGCATTATCTTTTCAAAGCTTCTTGGGTTGTGTTGGATAACACTGCTAAATTTATGGGGACCAGAATGTGGGTGAAACAGTATATTGAGAATATTCATTTAATTTCAATTCATAACAGAAATTGCAAATGTTTCCATCAGCAGCGTGCCAAGAAACTAGGCTTAACCAAATTGCTGATTTTGGTCATATCTCTAGTTAAATGAATGTAGCCATTTTACAGAAATGGTATAATACTAACATAGAAGAATTTTTCAATCAGAAAATAACAATTCTTGAATGTTCAAAATGCTGAAAAGCAACAAGGCGCTAAAAAGTCTGTTGTAACACAGAATATAGTCTGCAAAGTCTAAAAATTGAATACAATAATACAATTCAATTGTACATGAGAGATAGTAGAAAAAAAATGAAAAGAATGAATTGGCAAATATTTATTTCATTAATTTCAGACGGAATACTTTGTAAGCTGCTGCCAAAGTATCTCTGAACTGGCTTAGAGTGAAATTTAATACTCAGTCAGGAAAATTTTATTCTAGATACCTCTGACCATTAGGACACTTCACTAGAACAGGTCCAAGGTTGTGAGAAAAAACAGTAGACTAGGTCTTCTTCAAAGTGGCCTGCCTGTGGGGGTGTTTTATTTTCCACTTGGGAGAGTAAGGCTGTAGAGATATCCTGTTCTACCTTTATGTCCAATAATCTTAGTGCTGCTACTTTTCTTCTGGTATCACATCCATCCTCCAACAGCAAAAACAAAAATAACCAGACAGGCAAAATGGAAAGTACAGAACATGCTCACAATTGTAGGAATTAGTTCTTAGGAGCTGGGCAGATGCCGACCCTCTCAAACCTCTACCATGGTTGTCACTGAAGTAGCACACATGATGATAACCCTAACTATATTTAATATTTACCACAGAAGACGGTCAGCCAATCAGTATTTGCACTTTTTGGTCAAAAGTTCAGCAAAGACAACTGTCAGCCAAGCGTTAGTCATTTGAAATCATTTGAAAATGGCCAGCAATAAAGTACCTCATTCCATCAGGTGTAAAAACTCTCTCCATGCTTCATAAAAATTGCTAATATTCTGCCTCATGCATTTCTGTCCCCCTTCTCATATGCTCCATTAAAAAAAAATCCCACAGATGCTTTGGGAGGAAATTCTGCTAGGACTTAATATATAAAGAGCAATATTATGCATATAATATGCGTGCCTTAAAAACCCTTAAAATATCCTGCACTCCATGGTTACACATTTCTGTTCCTCTCCAGCTCCCTGTGACCTGTAAAGCTCTCATATCAGGAGTTTTACATTTGAGCATTTTTTCTGAGAATCAAGCATCTGTTATGATGCTAGAACAGGAGCTAGAAGCAGGGGGCAGCATAAGGCAAGACTTCCCTTCAAGGGACGCGAACATTCCTCCAAGTACAAGCCTACAATATGTTGCTGTTTTAAAAGTGGCATTTCTTCTCTCCCCCCCCCCCCCCCCGCCCAAGGATAAATTAGCATGGCACAAAGACCAGTCGTGACATCTGCAAACTCCCAGTAATATTGTCCTGGGATCAGTTGAAGTGGTCTGAGTCAAACTCCAAAAACTTTAATCTTAGACTGTCTACTATTGATCTCACCTCTTTTCTAAGAGGTCTGTAGGGGGCGTGCATAAGCGCACCAACGTGCCTATTGTCTCTGTCCTGCTGTGTTGTTGTTTTTTTCTTATGTGTATCTATTTCATGTATTCATAACTATTTTTATACTAATACCTGTTATCTTATAATCGCTTGACAAAATAAAATAAAATAAATAAAATATCACCTTGCTATATAGAAACTTCTTCAAAAATTATCACTGCAATCTTTTGTTATCTGATAGAGTATCCCAAGGCTACAGTTTAACTCAAATCTCTGTCTCTGTAAATACAGAAAAAGCTGATGTCAGACAGGGAGATTCTCCTTTCAATGCACCCTGCCACTCCCCTTGTTTAAGATGGATCTCTTTATACATTAGATGTGGGAAGGAAGGAAGCCAATGATAGTGCTTGGAGATAGGATATTCACAGAACCCAATACTTTCCCCCCTCAGATATTCCTCAAATGGGCATCACTGAGAATCTCTCACTGACCCAATAGGGAAAGAGGAACTATTTAAACAACCAAAATAGGGAAGTTATTTTCCCTCTCTTTCCCATTACATTTCTCATTTTTGAACCCCACTGCAGGAGCACATGACATTTTGGGTATTCTCAGAAATCCTGGAAGGGAATTTTTTTTGGCACTAACATATCCATTCAGTAAAACCACATGAACAATGGCACACACACACACACACACACACACACACACACACACACACACAAAAACACACTTTCAAATCAGTATTGAACTCCCGGAGACTGTCTGAGCTAGTCCCTGCAGTTTTCTTCACAAGATTTCAGAAGTGATTTGCCATTGCCTCCTTCCTAAAGCTGAGAGAAACAGACTGGTCCAAGGTCAAGCAGGTGGTTTTATGCCTAAGGCAGAACTAGAACTCACAATCTGCCAGTTTCTAGCCTGGTGGCTTAACCACTGCACCAAACTGGCATTCACCCGGCAATTATCAAGACATACTGATTCAGAATAGACAACCCGCAGATCTGCCAAAGTCCACTTCATCTATTTTTAAAACTCGTTATTCTCTGCAAAAAGCGGTGTGTGTGAGACTGTGTTTGTGTGGGCACATATGCACACATGTATGTCTGCTTCTTTTGTGGGGATTGTAAGGATTTGTCTAAATTTTATAAAAAGAAACAGACAACCTTTTTAGCTACAGTTATATGAGATTAAAGATAGACGGGGAAA